AAGTTGTGACAGCAAAATGAAGAAAGAAAGAAAAAAATGTTGTATGATCATATCTTTGTTTATATCTCTTTAAATTTATATTCAAATGAAAAGTCCATCTTTTTTCATGTTTATTAATTAACTTTGGGTGATGAGATATAGCTGGTTAATTTGTGTTGGCTCAATTTTTTTTTTTTAAAAAGAAAGTTCAAAAGGTGGATGATAGGCTTTAGAGTTTGATTATACTAACTATCATTACTCTAAAACGCGGAATTAGCTATGAAATTTGTCAGTAATTCCCAGCTAATTAGTAGTTAAATAACTCTTAGTTAGCTAATTGAATTTTCTTATAATTTGTCGCTAATCCGTAGCTAAATAGGATTAACATGAAATTTTTTATATTTATCTATGAAATTTTATCCATCACTAATTTCAGTATTAATAATAAACAATAGTATATAGTATTTAGTAATATATAGCCTATTAAACAATAATACAGTATATAGTATACTCCATATATAGCCAAGTAAAAAATTTCAACTTGTTTTAAGTCGAGTCACAATTTATATTATTTTAGAACATTAATTTTACAAAAATAAAAATAAAATCAATTTGCAAAAGCATTGCTAAACAAAAGCGGAATAAATATTTCTACGTATTTATTGAATTTGTATAAGTACATGTACGAACTGGCCTTTGTTAGGGAGAGCTTACCCTCCAATATGAAACTTTTAAGCGCAAATTCAAATTTACATTATGAATTTCTAAACTTATCATTAAACATATAGCTCGTTATAGTTATTACACGTTTGTAATTAAATATTTATTCATATTCACCAATATAAATATAAATTATTATTAAATTTATCTGAACGCGTACCTGATACTGTAACCCCACCCTTATTGATTGCGAATCCGAACAAAGAGCTTTTTCGGCATCATTTGCATGTTAAAATTGACACACGGAAGGTTACAGCCAGCCACGTTTAATTACTTTTTCTTTTGATGATTAACATTAATTAATTTTTTTCATCTACCTAATTAGCCTTTCACTTAACACGTACTTAACATGCAAACCATCCAATCAGCTATAAATACACCCTTAAAATCCACTAATTTCACCATCACAAGCATTTGCAAATTGCAATTAATTACCAAAAATAATTATCCATGGGGAAGAATTCACTTGTTGCTGTTCTTCTATTGTGCTTGTTAGCATTTGCAAATGCTAACACGTTCTCCGTCACGGTGGCCGTGACGGAGGACGATATTGACAATCCACAAAGTTGTCAAGAGCAGATTCAGAGTCAGAAACTTAACCACTGCAGGTAAAAACTATTTAACTATACGTAAACGTTGTTTTCAAAAGTTAAAAAGAAAAATAGTTTTTAAAAGAAGTTAAAGTGCTCTTTTGAAAAATATCTTTGAACAATAAGTTTTTAGAAATTTGGTTCATATATCATTGTTGCTCATAAATGTTGTCAAATTGATTAGCTAAATATAAATGGTTTCTTTTGAAAAGTACTTTTTTCCATAAATAGTGCTATTAGAGTTACTAATCGACCAAACAAGCTATTTCTTTGTCTCAATTTTTGTGACACATTTTAGATTTTGAGATTCAAACAAGTCTATTTTTACTGTAAATTTTCATATATCTATTAAATATTTTGAATTACCAATTATTATGACTTATAGTACTTTTTACGTAGTTTACAAATATATAAATTTCATTTTAGAATTTATACCACGTTTTACAAAATAGACCAATGACACATAATAACGCCTTTACACAAACATACAACTTTAGTTATAATATCGACTCAAATTTTCTTAAAAGTCCTTTCATAACAGTAAGTCAAATTTTCACATACTATATATTATAAAATTCTAAGTACGTTACTGATTTCAGGATGTATATTTCAAGAAGCCATCAACACTTTAACGACGAGTTGAGCATGGTAACAGATGACGATCATGAGATCAACCAAGCACAAGAACATCTCCAACAATGTTGCCAAGAATTGAGGAACATGGACACTCAATGCCGATGCCCAGCGCTTAAGAAAATGGTGATGCAGGATTGCGGTAGACAAGGCGAAGAGGCGCAACGCATGTTAGGGAAAGCTCGTTATATTCCGCGTATGTGTAACATTCAGCCTACTCAATGTAGCTTCTAATTGATATAGAAGCTCGATCAGTATAAAAATTACGTTGAAAGTACTATAATAATAAACACACCATCGTGTGTATGTATGGTAAGTAAGCCAGAGTTAATTTGGTTTTATCTTATGGGAAATGAAAGAGACTTGAGACTTGTTTTATGTGCTTGTTAATTAATTTTAGTCTTAATGCTCATGTGCATTTTAACTAATTGCGAATTTGTCGCTAAAGATAGATTTTGAGCCTAACTCAACTCAAAAATTAGCTTATAAGGGGAGGATTGTTCAAATTTATATAAGAAGATCAAATTATCATCCCTTTTCTGATGTGGGAATTCTTAACATTTCATCGTACAATCAGACCTCGTTAACTAAAGCGTGAACACTATAATTTCTTAACACTCCTCCGTGCACCCAGACCTCGTTAACTCAAGCGTGAACACTATAATTTCTTAACACTCTGCCGCACATTTAGACCTCGTTAACTGAAACGTGAACACTATAATATGGAAGCCCTACATCGGTAAATCGTTAAATCCTTGTTAATTGGAGCTTGAACGCTATAACTTCTTAACACTCCTACACACGCTCATACCTCGTTAAATGAAGCGTGAACATTATAATATGGGGGCCCAACATTGAAAAATAGTTAACTCCTCCTTAACTGGAGCGTAGACACCATAATATGGGGCCCAACATCGGTAAATCGTTAATGGGAGTGTGGACACTATAATATGGGGATCCAATATCAGTAAACAAATAATTATGATAGATCTAACTCTAATACCATGTAAAGATGGATCTTGAGTCTATTTTAACCCCAAAAGGCCAAAACCTAACTTATGAAGGAAGGACCATACAAATCCATATAAGGAAATCAAATTCCCATCTATTTTCGGACGCAGAAATTCTTAGCACAAACAAAGAACTTTTTCGGCAGCATTTGCATGTAAAAATTGACACACGGAAGGTAAAAGGCAGCCACGTTAATTACTTTCTCTTGTGATGATAACTTTTATTTTTTCATCTACATAATTTGCAGTGATGCAACACGTATTTAACATGCAAACCATTCAATCAGCTATAAATTGACCTTTAAAATTGGCTACTTCACCATCACAAGCACTTGCAAAAAAAAAATAAATTTAAACACATCTGATTAATTATATTGTTGTCATGGGGAAGATTTCACTAGGTGCTGCTCTTCTGTTGTGTTTGTTGGCATTTGCAAATGCCAACAAGTTCTCCGTCACAGTTGCCGTGACGGAGGAGGATGATATCAAAAATCCACAAAGTTGCCAAGAGCAGATCCAGACGCATAGGCTCAACCACTGCAGGTTTTAAAAAAATTGTCAAATTAATAATACAGAGTATATATTACACACTATATAATCAGTCTGAGTACACTAATTGAAAAATAATACAATGTAACTAAAAAATTGAGACAGAAAATAACGTCTTAAAATAATCCCCGTCCCCTCTAGGACATGTGGTCAAAAAATTATTGTGTTCCACATTATTACTATATATTTAGAAAATCAAAGGTTTCTCTTTAAATCTGTTTTTTCATTTATCTTCTAAATATTCCACATTATTACTATATATTTAGAAAATCAAAGGTTTCTCTTTAAATCTGTTTTTTCATTTATCTTCTAAATATTTTAAATCCTCAATTATTGTACCTTCTACTACTAAATTTGTTTTATGTAGTTTCTATATTCTAATGGGAAAAAGGACAAATATACCCCTGAACTATCGTAAATGATATGCAGATATCCTCCGTCATATTGGTGCCCCTGCCATCCAAAAACTAGAGCGTATATGCCCTTCACTCTAACGGAAGACTAAATAGGGACACGTGGCGCAATCTTATTCATCGATCCGATGTCGTAGATGTCCCTTTGTATAAAGGGTATATATGCTCTAGTTTTTGGACGGCAGGGGCACCAATGTCCCTAAAGTATGAAGAAGGGTATCTGCATACCATTTACGATAGTTTAGAGGTATATTTGTCCTTTTTCCCTATTCTAATTGACATTGACATAATGACATTTAAATATTTTAACCATCATAGTACTCTGAATTTTAGTGTAACATATAGAGTGACGAATAAAACTCTACGTACGTCACTGAATATTGCAGGATGCTCCTTTCAAGAAAGGAGCTAAGCATGGTGACGAAAGACGACCATGAAATGCGCAACCAACAGGAACATCTCCAACAATGCTGCCAAGAATTGAGGAACATTGACACTAAATGCCGCTGTCCGGCACTTAAAACGATGGTGACGCGGGAGCCCGAGCTCATGTCACAGAGAACTCGGTCCCTCCCCCGCGCCTGCAACATCGAGCCTACTGAATGCTACTTCTAATCAGTACGTATAAAAGTTCATGAGTACTAAAACTAGCGCGTTTAGTATAATAATAATAAACACCATCGTGTGTAAAGCTTGTTTACCATCTGAGCAACCCCTCTTATCGTGTTTTGTCCATCTAGCTATAGCTAGTGTAAGCTTTATGTTGAATAAATGGTCGCTCATAAAGCTGTGTTTGGTACTAAGGAAATGTTTTCCAATATGAAACTACAAAAGAAAATGTGTTATGTTGTTACAACCTATTGAAGAGTGTCTTAGTATACAAAAATACTCCCAAATTGGAGGTGGTGGATGACAAATGGAAATTTACATTGGCTTCAACAAAATCAAGCCATAGTAATGTATTCGAAAACAGTAACTCTTCCTCAACATAGCCAAAAATATCTGAATTAATATCGGAAATCGCGATAGCATTCTTACCCTGTAGCAATACTGTTTCAACATTGAACAGAGGAAGTACCATCATAAGCTTCATTTTACATTAGCTACATGGCTTATTGAATTGCGTAGCGCGCCTGCTTTGGCTTTTGTGTTTTGTTACATGTTGGCATTGGCTGCCTGTTTTAAGCAATCATCGTTAGAAAGTGAAATTCACAACATATTTGAGTAGCAAGGATATCATTTTGATTTTCTAAAACGACAAGTATTATTGGAACGTGTTATTAGGATCGGAGAGAGTAGTACTTGTAATGTTGCACCTGAGGTAGATGTACATTACCTTTTTAAGATATTTCTTGTGAAGTTTCATTGCACTAGTGCAAGCCTTCTTCGCGTCCAGGTTCCCGGTCATGTCATTCAGTATCTGTTATAGTTCAAATATATTATTACAATAAGATTCGAAAGATTTTTCTTACTATTTGAGTTGGAACTTGGAGATCAAAATAATGTTTAACTTCATGTACTTTTGAAACCAACCTGAACAACGTCGTCTAGTCCTTTAGCTTCTGTAAGCAACTTTGTGCTCTTGTCTTTAAGGACACTGGCTACTAGGAAAACGGAAATTGGGAGGGGAGCTTCAGCACCTTTGCTTCGATTTTTCAGATTTTCTCTCTCAAACTTCCCACACTGGCGTGTCGATTTTGTTCTTCCTTTAGATCCTTCAGATTTTGCAGCAGCTAAGTCAGGGTCTTCATACATAAGAAACAAGTCGGGATCGTATTCCAAGGCCCACATCATCTGTTGCAAAAAGGCGATAACCGAGAAGTTCAAAATTTAGAGACTAAGAAAAGTGAGTATTCAGGAGAGAAATCCTACCTCCCAAAGATATAACGAATCAGCAAAAGAGAATTCTCGACGGAACAAAACCATGAGCATCCGGATAGCAAATAGGTAATCACCTCCACCTAATGTCTCTGTGAGACATGATCAGAATGATATTCATTTCACGAAGAAATAAGACGATAAATTGTTCCTTTACTGGACTCGATGTGTATAGATTAAAGGGGAAAGATCATACCTAAGTGGTGATGAAGTTTAGGATCAATAACTTGTGTTACTGAAGCTAGATTACTCAGCTGTGCCTCTACTCCGACAGACCTCTCGGTGCATCTGAAATTTCCTCTCTTTAAAATTTCACACAACGGTTGGTATTAGTCGCGAGAACTGCAAAAAGCATAATCCATACAGTAACACCAATAATAGAAGCTGCAAATCGAAAATATAGCTATTGAAGTACAACATTCTTCCTTGATAAGGAAAGGGAAATTCTTCTTCTATTTGATTCATGAGTATTTCCCTCCCTATCATGACTAATTTCCTAATCTTATAATATACTTCCCTTCAACTGGAAAGGGGGACGGAATTGTCCTAATCGTACAGTACAATACAATGCCGACAATATCTATTGCTGATCTAATAATGAGAAGATAAGGCATTTCAAAAATATGATTTACAACATTAGAATGATGAAACAGTTTGTATAAGAGTACAGAAATGTTAATATATACCAGTCTCCTCATTAGGCGTTCAAAGCACCAAAATGCATCGGCTTCATCATCAAGAAGAAGAATCATGGGAGAACAGAGATCGCTCATTCCTGCTCAGCATTGTCAAGAGCTTAATATTCAATAGAGAAACAGGATAAACAACTGCAGAAACAAAATAACATAAGGAGACTCTAATGCATTGACAAAGAAAATGGAAGGAATGCTGTTTCTTTTGTACCTTTGTTTTACCCTTTCTCTTTTGATTAGTTGGTAAGTCTTTTGATTCTATGCACTGATAACTCGATATAGATAATGCTAATGATATCACATACAAGTGCTATGGAAAAAGGTATCACCTTTTAAAAATAGTTTATCAACAAATATGTATGCATTTGACCGGATCAAAGAGAAGCTAAAAAAAAAATAAGGCAGTATGGTGAACAAAACTCCTGCTATGCACGATTTCCAAGGAAGGGCCGGACCATAATGGTCAGTTATCGGATCAAAGAGAAGCTATAATGTACACAATTTCATATCAAGAAGATAATATGACAACCCACCTTGACAATAATTGATATCTTTGTCAAACCAAGCATAAACAGACAGAATATCCCAAAGCTTGGATAGATTCTCCTGTTTCTCATAAAAGACAAGTGTCCTGTCGGTCCGAACAACATCGAGTCCTAGCATAAACACGTAAACCAGACTGAATGGTTACTAGATAAACAACCTGAAGAGAAAGAGTACCAACAAGTGATTTTGAAGAGTGCCGGATAAACATGTGGTACATCCAAAGTTAAATTACTACTCCCTCCATCCCAATTTATGTGAAAGTGTTTGACTAGGCATGGAGTTTAAGAGAAAAGGGTAGACTTTTGAAACTTGTCATTTCAAATAAGTCAGAGAAAATTTGTGGCTATAAATCATTTCATTAAAAGTAAAATAGGAAGATTGAAATGGTTGTTACTAAATATGGAACATGTCATTCTTTTCGGGAATGACTAGAATGGAAAGAGTGTCACATAAATTGCAATGGAGGGAGTACTTGATTTGCCCAACAGAAATATGTCGGTAGGTACTAGGTAAACACTTTTTAGAGAAAGAAAACATTACAACAAGTTGTTGTTTAGCAAGTACATGCAATCTATATAGATAACCAACCTATCTGGTGTAATGAGAGTTTCCACTGGATTATTCTTTTGTCATGCTCCTTTACCATTTCACATCCAGGATTACTGTTTTGTTGACCACCTGAATTTAATTCTTTTGCTGCTTGTGCCTCTTGGAGAGTAATAGGATCTACAATAGGGTCACCGTTTTCCGTAATTACAGGGGCAGTAATAAAACTACCACTTCCAATCATGGGAAACATCGTGCGGCATTCTTCTTTCAGTACAGCATACTGGACCCTGAGCGTACACAACAGAAATCCAGGTCAACAATAGGGTATGGAAATTGCTTATGGATCAGTGTTAGTTTATACTCAGGAATGGTAAAATTATCCTCATTTTACATGTGAAGATAATTTGAGCCAAATTATATCAATGAACGATGATCAACTAAGCCTCATTCCCAAACATTTCTCTTGCCATTAGTAGTGATGATGTAGCAATGTGTATTCTTATGATGAATAACAATCTCCTTGCTGTAATGAACTTGTCAAATTTGGTAACGTCTACGTACAGAGTTTAAACCATTTTGATGAGCTACTGGTTTTTTAATTCTGTCACCGATGATCCTATATGGAGCCGTTTTCAGCTGAAAACAATTTTCAGGTCACCTCCAACAGTATAAATAAAATACCATGCTACCCTACTGAAGTCAAGTGATGAACTGCAATTATCAAGTGTTGTAAAATGGAAAAATTCAAGTGCTATATATGTTTTCCAAACTTAGGCAATAAAGAAAGTAAATTACCTCCTCCGTTGTCGTATGTGCTCTCGTTCTTCAAATGTGCTCTTTGGATCATAACAACCCAATAAAAATTCCCAAACTTCACCTCTCATTGATGGATGAATCCCCTATTATGTCATAGAAATTTGATGGTTAGCAGACTTCTATGCTAATCATCTTTTCAGGAATTTATGTGTAATGGATATTCATTGAATCAGTACCACAAAAACTGAAAAGAGTATCGTAATCCTTCAAAAACTTTGACATCAATAAGTCAAACTTACCCCACGATAAACTCGACTCAGTGTTTTGCCAATATCAAGATAACCTTCTGATGTAAATGCAGCACGCCATTTCCTTGCACTTAAGGTTTTCCCAGCCTGAATAAGTAGATCAATAGATAATATATATCCGGCAACACAGATACAGGAGATATGGGATTTTTAGTAAGGAGTTCAACTTATTCAAGGGAAATGTAAGAACTACTTCTGAACGTTATTATAAGATTGATAACGTAGATAGTGTTTTTGAATTCTTATTTGTGATGGTAAACAGATAAATGAAAAATTCAATTCTTTTCACAATAAAAAGGCGCATCAGCCAAGGCATGCACACATCAGATGTGACACAAGTGAGGACTTGTATATACTCTACACTAGATTCCCATAGTTCAGACTTAAGATACAGCTCAAACTAGTTCACACCACATGTGCCACGTGCGTTATGGAACAAAGAGGGAGATATGTTCTGTGCTAATCATCATGCAGTTACTCATTAAATGTTGCACACCAGCCTCATGAGTTTAAAACCTGGAAATGTCATCCAATTGAATTTACTGATTTGCCAGGTTAAAGAGTGAGAAGAGTCTAAAGAGTAAAGATTATTTGTCCAGATTGAAGGAACAGGATAACATTTACTCCCTCCGTCCCAATTTAAGTGTCTTACTTCCCATTTTGGTTTGTCCCAAAAAGAGTGTCTCTTTCTATATTTAGCGAGATTTCCAATTTCAATATTCTACACGACAAGTTTAAAACCACAAGATTTAAAAGACTATACAAATCTTTAATTTAAGACCACAAAATTCAAAAGTCTCCCTTTTTTCTTAAACTGTGTGCCTAACCAAACTAAGACACTTAAATTGGGACGGAAAGTGTAGTTTAATCTGCAAGTACAACTTATGAAACATGTAAAAGGAAATTCAGGTGAACATCTACCTCCCCCAACTTAAAACCAGGTAATCTTGGACCAAGTTCCAGTCCCAACTACTAAAATTGGAATGCAAACCGAAAAAAGTTTCAAACAATAAGGCTTTGTGCCACTATCAAATTCTGAGGAGCAAACCGCAAGCAAAACATCTATGTTCTACTATGAAGTCTTTATTACTTCCAATAGATATTTGGTTCTACATTTTTGTTACCATGAGAGACATTGGCAGCCGCCGATCATTTGATTTGGCTGATGCTAATTGCAGTTGATGATCCCAATTTAGAACCCAAGTATAAGGTCTGACAGCTAAACATCTTCATCTCAATAAAACACATGATCTTTTCAATCATCTCAATACATCCCACAACATAAGACAATAGACTACCTCATTCATTCACATCACTAGTTTTCCCAGAAAAGCTTCTAACACACAACAACAACTACGCCTCAATCCCAAACAAGTTAGAATCCCAACTTCTTCATATAAGCTCATACCAAAAATCTATTCAAAAAACACAAATGTAATACAATACCCCTTACCATACAAAATTGAAAAAACTAACCTTGATTCTGAATCTTGTTTTGGGAACATTTGTACATTCAGGGCGAACCTGGTAGAAAGAATCAGCAGGAGCTCCAGGGTCCCTCCACATTCTTGAAAACTCCTCAAACCAAACAAAAAAAAAAACAATCTTTGAAGCCCAACGGCTGCAGCTCAGGAACCCAGATCAGATTTTCAACAAGAAAAACAAAAATGGGACAACCCCAGATCATAAAACTTGGTTTCCTAGCTACCCATTTGACAGAAATTCAAGAAACACACAAAAATCAACATAAAAAAGTGATCTTTTTCCTAATTTACATATACTTGACTAAACTTTTTTTTTCTTTTTTTGGGAAGTATGGTGTTTTACAGTTTTGAGTATTGGCGGTGACATTTTCACACTCTGAGCTAGCGAGGAAGACGTGGGATCCAGCGAGAAAAAAGTGGAAAATCAGAAGGCTGTTTGTTTATTGAGACATTTTTTGACGCGCTGACGGCGGCGCGTGTGTTGGAAATATTGATGTTTTTTTGCAGAAAATAATAGTGTCGTGGATTTGTTCATTTGGCTTGGTAAGTTTAGAAATGGTCAACCATATTTTTGGTCATAAATCATTAAGATTTTGTGTCAATTATTAAATTGACACATTAATAGTTGAGCTTAATAGATGTAATTTACTAATTTTAAAGTAATTATTACACGACTCGAGTGTGTTAGTTTTTTCTAATTGAGCTCAATTGAATAGAATTTCGATGAAAGTTTAATTTGTTGGTTTGTACAAATAGAATTTGTTATTTAACTCTTGTATATTGATAATTTCATAACAGACAAAGCACGATTTTAAGTGTAATTTTCATTTTATTGAATTTTAATCAAATTTCACTCACATCAAGATGGATCAAATCAAAATCCAGCCAATCCAAATGAGTTAAGAGTTGAGTTTCAAGTCGACTCAGTTTTATACCAAGCAATGTTTGAAAGGAAAAAATTTATGAATAGGCATTTTCAACTTTTGTAATCGAATTTCATGATAATAATTGTTCCTTAAAAGTACGATAAAAATGTGATTAGTAAACGTTATTTTTGTGATTGGAACTAGGGTTTGAAATAGTCCACCTCACATTTGGTCCAAAATCATTAGGACTTTTGGTCAACAATATGTAGCAGTCAACATTAGATATACAAGCTTAAGTTAATATTTTCCTTTTCGTTGTTGAAAATATTAGTTTCTCTATTTCACCTTCATGTTACTCTTAATACCAAACACAACCTTTTATCACAAAAATACTCCGTTTACCTATATACTCCACCTTCTTTTTCCACTTTTGTGTAAAAATTTATCATGTATGATAAAAGAGATTTGTGATTTTCGTAGATTCATCGTTAAAGATTGTATTGGAATAAATAAAGTTTCTTCATTTTTAATCAAAAATTTTAAATTTGAATTATGAATATGAAAAATCTTGCTAACGAGTGCTTTTTCCTTTAAATGGATTTTACACAGCATGAATTCGGATTAATCGAAACCTCAATACAAATAGACAGAAAAAAAAGGTAAAAAAATTCCTTCACTTCTAACTCGAATTTGAATCTTGAATATGAAAAACCTACTAATGAGTGTTTCCCTTTTAAATAGATTTTACACGGCATTAATTTAGATTAATCGAAACCTCAATGTGAATACTAGAATAAAAAATCGGATTTGAATTTGGGATATAAAAAAACTTGCATTCTCCTTTATATGGATTTTACATTGCATGAATCCAAATTAATCAGGGCCTCAATACGAATACCAACAGAAAAAACAAAGAAAAAGGAAAAGGATTCCTCAACTCAACACACAAGACTTGAAAAAATTCTTGATAATGTTGAAGAAAAGAATAATCCCAAAAATAAGTTTACTAAAAAGTACTCAAAAACAACAAGTTCCTCTCTTTGGCTTTATGCTTTGTCATAGTAGTTAAGAAATCTAAAGGTGAATAAGAATAACTAAAAGAAACAAAAGCTTCACTGCCACAGCTTGTAAAGTTCCATCCAAATTTGCACCTACAAATATCCCACATTTTCATTCTCCATTCTCATCAACCATATAGTTTTCTATTTCATCTAACATTAATTTTATTTTATTTTTTGTGTTCTTTATTTTATTTTTCCAATGGCTCAAATAACAAGTACAAGATCAAATAAAAAAGTTTTTTATGTTTTGGGCTTGGTCAATATTTTGATGTTGTTACAAAATGCCAATTGTTATGAGTTTAAAGTTGGAGGCTCTGGAGATTGGAGTGTCCCTATGGATGCAAATGCTAATAATTACAATCAATGGGCTGAGAGGAGTAGATTCCAAATTGGTGACACTTTATGTAAGTTTATATATTCATTTCAATTTTTGTCCTTTATATTAGTCCATCTATACTAACTCGAAAAAACAAACAGTAAATCTGATTAACTGTTTGTGAAAAGATCACATATTTGTTTAGGAAGTGCCTCTTATTATCGTCCTATTTTCAAAATTGATCTCTATGAGTCAGAGGCGAATCTAACACGGTCCTATGAATTCATTTTAATACATTACTTTTGGCTCAAACTATATATACATATAAAAAGAACTCTAAGAGGCAAATCCATGATTCATGATGGTTCAATCTTAAAGCTCTACCAGTATACTCACTATACTTGAAGTTCATGATTCATGACGATTCAATCTTTCATGTAAAAAAATATGGGGTTCAATTGAACTTATAATACTTATATGCTCTTATTCGTTCAGAAATCCACTAACTCTAGATCATGGTTTCACCTCACTCTAGACAATGTATAAGTTTAATTTGATTATGACTTCTGATACCTTTTTTTTGGCAGCTTTTCACTACTCTGCTGATAAAGACTCAGTGCTTCTTGTAAACAAGGCAGATTTTGACAATTGCAACACTGCTTCTCCTATTGAGAAGTATAGTGATGGACACAGTGTGGTTAAGTTTAACCACTCTGGTCCATACTACTTCATTAGTGGTGTTCATGACAACTGTGTCAAGAATGAAAAGTTGTACCTTGTGGTCATGGCTGATAGAAGTCGCCACAACCAAACAGCTTCTTCTCCCCCTCCTTCCCCATCAGTAGATGAAGTTCCTCCGTCTCCGGCCCCGTCTGGTGAGGAGGCACCATCACCACCATCTGACTCAGGTGAGACTAACCCAACTCCAGCTCCTTCTCAAGAATCATCACCTCCTTCTCCTCCGAAGAGTGGTGCTTCGTCGATCGTCATGTGCTTTGTTGGCCCTGCTGCAGCTTTAGCTGGATTATCTGTACTGTTGGGATTCTGATAAAGAGTTGATTGACTTGTTTGTATTTGTTTTGTTTTGATTGTTTTCATTTTTTGGGTTTTATGTTTCATGATTTTCCTGCTTTGTTCTCAGTGAATGTAGCTGAGAGTAAAAGGGTGTATTGATTTGTATTGGTTATTATGTGATGAAAAATAAATAAACTGAATGTATGCGTATAGACTCTGAATGTACAAAAATGAAAAGAGAAATACACTTGTGTGGATATAGAAGAGAAATACCGCGGGTCTTTCAGAAACAGATTCTCTACCTTCACGAGATAGGTAAGGTCTGCGTACACGAGCCAAGTTGACTAGTTCTTATTTTTGAGAAATCTGATGCTCATATTGATGAATGAACCCTACACCAAAAACAACATTCTACATATTTAACTAGGGATATCACCAGAACTCTTGATGCAAGAAACATGTTTTCACGAAGAGAATATCTAATATAGTATATTTTTAAAGCGTATAATTATAGTGCACAAACTAAATTTCTATCATCAGACTACGCTCCTCAAAAATTCTTTCCTAGCTCAACTTTTTTCACCATTCTCATTGTGTTGTGCAGAATCAGCAACCTGTACCAGCCAAAAAAGAACGATGTTAGCGGGGAATGAAGGTGTGAAACAATGGGAGAGGCAAGTAGGAGAGACTGACCACAAACATTGGTAAGAAAATGTGAACAGGACTTGGGATTTTCTGTAATCAAGACCTGATGGCAAAGGACAAGTAATAAGAATAAGAAACCAAAATAAGATGTATTAAGCTCTATCACATAATCATGAAATGTAGTGATGCAAAACCTGCATTGGTGATGGATCATAATGAAATTTCGCTACTGGTATATATATGAAGACTATGAGCCAAACTACTACGCGCTGTGTACGATCTGTTATCTCCTGTATTCAGTTAGTAAAAAAGAAACAGAAATAAGATGAAATAGACAGAATGCTTTTAATCCGAGTCCACAGAAATCATTGTGTTTCCTTAAGAAATTTAATCCCTCACTGTACCCAAGGTTACAAATTAATTTCTCCCAAGATAAAACGGATTAACCTGTTAGAGAAGTAGCGGTACCTCAAACTTCAATAACTTCAGCGAACGTAAGAACAACAACAATAGCACACACACTCAGTCGATCGACAATTTTGTTTATGTTAGAAAATATATGCAAAGAGAAAAAAAATTCAGTGTTTGAAAAAACGAAAAAAGACCTCTTGTTTATAGTCATTTGCAACAAGGAACGCGTCTGTTCAGACCCATTTTTTCCAGAAGGTTGTGTCTTTTGGGAAAAGTAACGACTTTTCGGAAGGAACAGGTCCATTCAAATCGTTATTACCGTTGCACGCGAATTTCAAATAAATTATGTTGCGCCAAATTAATTATGTTATTTAACTAACATTCTGAATTAATTTATAAGAGAAAAGATTAACAGGATTGATAGATTAGCAAGATTGATTAAATAAATTTTGTCCAAAAATATTATCAATCAAATCCGAGGCCGAGTGACGACGGCACGAGGGGCACCTTCTTCTTAACCTTTTAAGAACTAAAGGAAGTGTTTCCTAATATAAGGACAACAATTTTCTTTCTTCTACCAATATGGGAGAAATGACTTTTCATTTGCACTTTTGCAATGATTTTTCATTTTCCATCCAAAATTAGTTCCCCCACTTTTCCATTTTTCCTCTTCTTATTTTCCATTCAAACCTTGCTAAAACCCAACACGATCTTGTCATCACCTCTGTTTTCACCACTTGGTGATGGATCATAATGAAATTTCGCTTGCCATATATACAAATACATATGTATAATATACAATTATCTAATTGATAATATATATATAATTCACCTTTCTCCCACTTTTTGCCCTCTCTAGCTCGCCTCTCTCCGCTCTCTCCCGGTCTCGCTCGCCTCTCTCCTCTCTCTCCTGGTCTCACTCGCCTCTCTCCTCTCTATAACATGTAGGTACGAATTGTAATTATCAAACTATAGCTATGGAGAGTAATTAGGCAATTTTAAAGTGGCTTTCCCTATAACATGTAGGTACGAATTGTAATTATCAAACTATAGTTATGGAGAGTAATTAGAC